TGCCCAGCGCAAGGGGGCTGGACCCGATGATCTCATGAGGTCCCTTCCAGCCCTAAACTTCTGTGAATCATGTTCCAGAATTCCTGAAGGCAGGGATTGAAACTGGAAGTCTCCCTGAAGCACTGTATAGATAGCAAGCCTGACAGTAAGATTATTATAATATTTGAACAAATGCTTCTAGAGTAAAGCCACAGGGCTAGATTGTTTTAAAGTGCTCAGAACAGTAACCCTAACCCAAGGCAATGCAGGTCATAATGGGAAGCCAAGAAATTACCCCCAAACTTGAAATGTTTAAAGTGAAGTCTGAGGAAATTAAGTCAATGAAATACAAGTGATAAATCAAAAAATTAAATTAAAAAAGCCTCTCTCCAGATACTGACTTCATTTTTGTTATTTTCAGTCCCACTAAATCTGTAGCATTTAAAAATTACCATTGACTTTGTAAAATGCATAAGATTAGAGTAGATTCATCATAGAGAAAGTGATACAGAAGGTAGTTTAGTAAAGAAAGCGCACTTAACTAGAGGTTGCTGAGAACTCCTATCTAGTGCTACTTCAGTCAGCATATAAAACTATGTGTAACCTATGATTTGAGGATCATGTAATTTCCTGTCAGTAAATCATGTTTCAGAATCTACATTTCTGCATTTAAAATTGCAAAAAATGTTAAGAACATGATTTAAGTGTGAAGTGAGGCAGTGCTATAGTTAAGAGTCCAAAAAGAACTTGAAACAATAAAGGCTATGCTTTAACTGTATGTCTCATAACTGTTTTCCTGAAAACCAGTAACAAAATGTTGGCACATAATCTATCAGCTATTCCATTGCCCAGAACACCCTTTGAACTGTTGGTCCTTGTTAAAAGTCAAAAGTTTCTTTAGTGTTGCTATTGTTCACAACAAACATACCTGGGCATACCCTTTCTTTCACATCTCAGACCTACCCATCTCTTTAGAAAAACTGAAACAGGGTGTCCTGACTTCTTAACTGCTACACAGGACTTCCAGGGGAATCTAAGAGAATACACGAACACCTCATTGTCCCTCAACTGCATGCAGGGTTCCTCTGCCCCTATGTTCCAGTTCCATCCGCGACC